AGATTTGTGGAGAGTGACCAAAGTCACGATGTGGAATGCTTGTGATTGATTTAGTGATGTGAGTCTCAGTACTGTGGCATGGTGACAGAAGAATGTATAGTGGATCTAATGAAAACTTTAGTGGAAAAATGTGGTTATGTATTAAGAGATTATATATCACACAATCACAAATCATCCTGTTATTCGCCGATTGCCTCGAGCAGGCCCCAGTAACGTCTCCTTCATCCTAGCCCTGAGATTATATTCAAGGCTCTTTAGGAGAATGAGACCCATTATTGTTACTGGTATTTGGCATATTGGGTACGCCATGGGGAGTTTGCCAGACTCTGCCGTGTGGGCAGGCTACATTCGGTAGCTTGCCAGTTTGTTCAAAGTAGGAATGAGATAATAAGATGTCATAATAAGATGCCGCGAATGCGGCCATGCGGTTCTGGGAGCTGGTTTTTATAGTCTCTGAGTCTTGGCTGTTGATGGGATTACACGGGGCCAGGGGGCCAGGTGGTGGGTGTGACCCCCGCCTACTGGAATTTGGAGGATCTGGGTGGAGGATGCTCAGCCCCAATCCAAGTAGGCTTGGAGATCTCGGCCCCGGAACCCGCGTGGCTTTGTCCCTCTGCCAGTACCTTCATGTGTGCGGAGAGTGGTCTCAGCATGGTGGTGGCTGGTCCTGGAGGTCTTTGGCTGCCAGAGCCCTGGTTGGGGCGGGGAGGAAAGTTCAACCCGCTCCCCTCCAAGGGGTCCCGGCAATATAAGAGATTATATATATACATATATATGAGATTATATATATATACATATATATATGTACATATATATATCCATATAGCACTGTAGCACTGTCCTCCTGTTGTTCATAGATTTGCTTGAGTGGGTACCAGTAACGTCTACATTGTGAGACTTGTTACTGTTTTTGGCATATCAAATATGCCATGGGGTGCTTGCCAGGCTCTGCCATGTGGGCAGGATACTCTTGGTAGCTTGCTGGGCTCTCCGAGAGGTATGGAGGAATTGAACCTGGGTTGACCTCCTGCAAGGCAAGGGTTTGCCTTCTGCAAAGCAGCCCTACCCACTGTGCTATTGCTCCAGCCCCATATATACGCATATATATGTTTTTATATGTATGCATTTACATCTGCGATATATAACCTATAACACAATTACAAACATAGGAATATGTAAGAAAACTTAAATTTGAACCTAGCAGTATTGTCATCTCAAAATAATATTTTTATCCTAAATTAATATAGGTATCTGAAAACCTGTTGTATTTACTTTTACTTAGCTTTCTGCTTAAGAAATTAGTGTTTTGCAGTTTCAGTAAGATACCTATAAGTTTGTTTTGTTACAGAAGATAAATTTTATCTTGCTGGCTCTCAATTTTTATGATTTGTTATTTCACATTGCCTACTTCCTTTTCTGGTTATAGTGTGCTTAGCAACCCAGATGGCTAATAGATAAACAATTTGAGGTTTACTTATTTAAATCATTTAGAGGAGCCTAGGAGGTTCCAAATATCCATGGCCATCTGTTTATTGCTCCGTATATTATCTTTATGTTTCAGAACATGCCTCAGGCTTCTTCAGACCTTCATCTTTATCTTCCTTATAGACACCAACAAGTTTTTTAGACCAAACTAAACTCATTACGCTCTTGAGGTTCTACGATAAAGGTTCATCCTAGCTTGCCTTCTATTTTATTATTCTTTTAATCTTTTCCTTTTTATTTCGATTAATAGTAGTGCCTCAGAACCCATAGAAGATGAACTACGGATGTGAGTCTAGTTGCTAGTGTATGTAGCTGTTTGTTTGACCGTGGACATTTTCCTTCATCTGTGTTTCTTCATCTGGGAGACTAAATACCTACTCTGTAGTTTTGTTAAAATGCTAAGATAAATTATTGTTCATTTTTGCAACACCATGGTTACTGTTTACCTTTTAATCATTCAGTTTAAAAGGAGAATTCTCTTACAAAAAAGAAATAAATTTGTGGTGGAGGTTATGGATGTAACTTACTATGGAGATCATTTGGTAACATAGACACATATCAAATCTTTGTGTTGTGTATCTGAAACTAACAGCTTATGCCATTTGTTCCTCAATAAAAATGGTAAGTTCAGATACCATACACTAGAATTTCACAGTTCTTTAGGAGAGAATGCCTATTTTTCCAGGAGTGCCTTGAACAAACCATAATAAAGTATATGAAGGCATGACTGCAGTGTCTGTCTGGGGCTTGCTTGCAGTCCTTTTCACTGGTTCATTCCAGAATGGCACTCTGGGTAATTGGAGACGTTTTTCTTGGCACTTATCTGGGTTCTCCTGTTTGTCCTGGTCCACGTGGATCAAGTCCCCATCCCCTCAGCAATGCCCAGGGTGAGGTGATTATTTCTTCTTAATTTATGTGGATCACTTTTTCTTTCTCTTTCTTACTAAGGTGGTTTTAAAATAAAACTTTTCCTAAACTGCCTCTGGCTGAGGTGTGAATTATTTTTTCTTAGGTTTATAAAACAGCCATGTTAAAAATTAGATTCTTGAAAAATGAAAAAGAAGAATATGATTAACTTGGCTTGCCAGGAAAATTCAGAACACATGGCTTCTAGATTTGGTGTGTCACATATGGTATATGGTAGACAGAAGAAAATACCTTGTAAATGATTAATCAAGGACATTAATCTACAAATTTACTGATAAAATTTAGGGGTGTGTGTGTATGTGTGTGTAACTTCTATGTGTGGGGGGCTGAAAATTGAGACTGAAGAAAATTGCCCTGTTTTGCAAAGAAATCTATACTCATAAGTGATTTGTATATGAGCAGTTTTATTGCTTTCCCAAACATATTTAGTTGTTTTAGAAAAAGTTTTTAATCCAAATCAAAGGAGCAATAACTTCTCTTTAATATACTTTATTGTGCTTTTTTATATTATTTTATGTATTATTATTTCTATATCATTTAATATTGTTATTATATAATATAATAATATCTTTGTAATCTAATAGTCATTAAAATGCTGACCTATTTTATTTGGTTAGGGTGTCACCTTAACTGAATTACAATCTTTGTAACTTAATTCTTAATTTTCTTCTATGATATTTATGATTTTTATCTATTTGGAAATACTCCACACAATTTTAAGCAGTTGTTTTTAAATTAAAGAAATGCTAGATATAAAATCACAAATTACATATAAATTCACAAATTGCAGATAGCAGTAACATTTACTCACAGTAGGTGATTCTTCACTTTGTACTTTAATTTCTTTATTATTTAATTACAAAATTATTAATTTCTTATAAAAACTCAATTCACCATCTTGCTCCTTTGAGCCTTGGATCACTGCTTAATGATTCTGGGAGACCCTTATCTTTACATATGCATATAAATGCCTCTAAACATTGATTCTCACATCCTTGGGGAATTGGAAGTGCCAGTATTTGAAAAAAATGATCAGTATTGCTAATTATGTTAATAAGGAATTTCAGAAACACTGATAGATTGTTTTGGCAGAACTGCTATCAAGTTTTAAAAATAATAAGAGGCACAAAATTAAAGATATTCTGTGAAGTATTTTGCTGTGGTTCCTTTGTTTTGTCATGCCTATGGCTAGTTTGTATGTGAAGAGTGCAATATTAAGGAAAGACAAAAAAAAACAGCCTGTGTTGGCTAAAATAATAGAATTGAGCTAATTCCCACCTGACAGCTTAAATCTCCTTAAAATTACATGTTTCAATCAAAAAACAATTCAACCAAGTAGTCATTTTTTGAGCTTAGTAATGAATTTTCTAGGTCACTCTTCAAGTCTTCTGGATGCAAGATTCTGAAGTTATTGATGAAGATTTCAATTGCAATGGGGAAAAAAAAACCAATACTTTTGGGATACACTTGTCAATGGAAAAAGTAGCACAGAGCACAGGGACTGTGCATTAGGCATAAGGATTCCTTCATTTTCCACTCAAGTATTTTTAATACATTGAATTAAAAATATATAAGCAAGTGTGGACTGCTTATCTCTGAAGGAGGAAGTGTAGACAGTAGATCAATCATTATGTGATTAAACTATTCCTAGGGAAGTTATATTAATTTTAACTGCAGTTTTTATCTGGATTATTCAACTTAATATCATTTTCCTAAGAATGGTTTGATCATTTGTCTTTGAAAAGATATTTTTTCCACTCGACAAATTTTATTTTCAAATTTGACTTTGTCACTCAACATTTTTTCCTGAAGATGATTTCCATGGGTGGTTCTTTTTGGAATTTTATGAGTTTGGACCAATAATGCAGAGCCACATGTAATTCAGAGTCTCACTGGGAAAACAGATCATTGGGCAACCACCCTGGATTGTGCTGAACTCAGTGTTGCAGAGGCTTAGGGCAGGTGACCTTTGCTCACTGGCAGTTCTCTGGTCAGGGCTTTCTAGCTGAGCTCCCACCTTAGAGATCTGTGCACAGTAGTCAGTCAGAGAAAAGCAAGCTTACGGGTTGATGGCCAAAGGATCAGTAGCATCTACAGATATACAAAGCTTGTGAGAGAAAGTATTTTCTTGGTGGCTCACTCTGGCCGTGTAGAGGAATTATAGGCAGTCATTCTGAAGGTAATCTGTGGTTAATTGTGTTGACATGAAGTTTGAAAGGTGTAATAAATCATATACCACTGCTAATTTCAAGCTACAGAAGTTTATTGTGAACATTTTGTTATGATTTGGTCATACTTATTTTATCATGTTTTCTATGATCCTGGTTTGACTTTAGCAATAGCTACATGTATAGCAATGAATTCAGTTGCTCATATGAAAATATTTTAAGTCAAACTAAGTTTATGTTGATGCTAGTTGTTCGCTACTTTTTGAAAGACATGCCCACCATTTCAATATCCTTATTTTTATTTTAATACCTTTGGAAGCAATTGCTTATTTAATTGAAATGTTTATTTTTTCCTCTGTGAATAAAAAGAAATATTCTTTTTCTCTTGTTTCTTAACCATCTGTGTTTGTGTTTTTGCAGGAAGAATGTTTCCTGAACCTTGAGGCTCCAATATCTAGAGTATGTGGGTATGACACACCTTTTCCTCACATTTTTGAACCATTCTACATCCCAGACAAGTGGAAGTGCTATGATGCTCTCAGAAAAATGATCAACTACTGACCGCACAGGTAATCACTTCCTTGTGTATTGAGAAAGCCAGCACATGTTCTTGACATTAGTGAACAGCTAACTCAGGACTAGTGGCCATCAGTGTGTTGTGTTAAGGTGTATGTTGACTTCTAGAACAAAATATGGATTGCAGAAAAAATTAAAACTTATGGCAGTATGTTTTTATTTCATAGAATAAATTAAATCTGAGCATGTTAACTGATTTCTTGATAGATGCATGCATATGTTGACATTTAGCAATCACTAGATAAAGATGTTCTTTTTTATGATTTGATTACAAACATCCCTTGCCTTCCTTTCATAGGTATATTTTTAATCAACTTTGAATCGTGAACACACAGTTATTGTTTTAATGACCCTTTATGTACTATGTACCATAAAACTCTGAAATGTGTAGGTATAGCAATTGAAAAATAGATTTATTCAATAAGGAACCTATATATGGCATAAGAACTTTTTACCAAAAGATTAAAAAGCGAAGCAGCTCCTCAAAGGTGCCATCACCACTATTTCCAGAACCGTCTTTTGGAAAGTGAATGTTTTCCTATTGAATAGTGAATGATTTTTATTCAGTATGGTATCTAAGCTATATTTATCTTTCTCTTCAAGCAGTGTAACTGCTGTTAGACTTTTGTCTATCAAAGATGAGTATCTTTAAAACTTGTTAGTTTTTAGGGTTTTAATAAAGAAGTCGCTATTACTAACACGGATTTATGCTTTACATTTTAATATCTAGATTGTCCAGTGAGCAGTATACTTTGAATAACCAGGTCTTCTGAAGAAAATGATAATAGTATTTGCATATTAACACGGTCTGTAGTTGTTAAAATAGGAAATAGTGTAATTCTTGAATTCTGTCCTGGCAGCAAAGTGAACTCATCTAATGCCAGAGATAGCATCCTTAATTTTGTTCAGGTAGAGAAAAGAACACCTCTATCTGCCTCTGTGATCCCCATGGTTTCGTAATTCTATCCCGGGTGGTTATAGAGATAACTCAGGACCATCTGTCCTCATATTCCAGGTATTTTTTCAGACATGCTGACGTAGGTACTGTGTATTTCATGCCCTCAAAATGGCTGTGAAAACAACTGACTGCTATAATGAGTCACAGTAGGACAGGTTAGAGGGTTGGCTCACTTCTGTTATCAATCTTACTCCTTTCCACAGCTAATCTATCATGGACTGGTATGGTGGCCATTTTCTTTGTTGCTTTTTAAAATTTTTATTTGTACTGTTATTATTTGTGGTGATTGAACACAGGGCCTTATACATGTGAAGCATGCATTCTACCACTGCCACTCATCCCCAGGCCCTTGTTTTTTTTTTTTTTAAAAAAAACCACCTAGATGCTGCTTTTAAATTAAAAATATTTCTGTTTCATAACATAAAAAGTATTTAACCTGTCCAGGAAGTATGATAAAAGAATAACTTTTCTGTGTTAAAATTCAGATCTGAAATTTAAAAAAAAAAAAGTCGTACAATTCAGAATGTCAATAATTGTTTTTGATCTCTTTTACAGAAACTGGAGGATTATGACTAAGACATGGAAATATTTTTCGACTTTTTTATATTTCTTTAAACTTATCTCTTCTTGAAAATAGACTTTTTATGAAATGAACTATCTTGGATATTGACAGCAAAATGAAAAATACGCTATTGCATTGACCCATATGATTTATTTCCACTTAAGAGTTTTTAAAATGTTCCACATCATAGACTTCTAAATTCCACTTTATTTCTTCTGTAAATATTGGGGTTGGGGATAGTATTCAATAAAACGAAATCAGATTTGTCCAGGGTGTGTGTCCTTTATTTTTTATTAATTAAAAACAATTTTTGTTGTTGCAAAGTCATAGAAAATTAATTTCCAAGTAATAGGTCGTACACTAAGTCTGAGTGATGGTGAAGTGTTTACAATTTTACAATTCTTTTGTTTCATTCTTTATGGCTGACATTGTTGTGTGTTGATAAAACTTTTAGAATATTTCTCACTCTTTCCAAAATTCTTTCCTCTTATCTCAACACGGGCTGCAGATGGACTCAGACATTTCTTCTCCAGACACTGGGGCAAAAGAGCTTCCGCACTGTCCTTTTCCTGAGTTAGGGAGATGATTAGCATGAGCCCGAGTCTGTACTTTCTTAGACAATTAAAAAGTTTTCCGGCATTTCTGTTCCCCTGCCCCCTCCCTGTTGTGATGTTGCAAAGCAAAAGCAAATATCTTTCTTATGTGTTTGTATATTCTTACTGTAGTGAAAACAAAAATATTGGTAGCAACAAAAGACTCCTAATAGGAAGAATTCTCTTGCTGGGCTTCTTGCAGTGTTTCTTGTGTCTTCCTCTTCCTCTCCTGACTTTATCTTCAGACATTTTGCTGTTAGACCAATCCCAACACCCATTACATTCCACAAGCTAAGATACCCATCCCAGGACCACCCTCATCCTCAGCCCACCAAAAAAGAAAGATAAACAAGGTCATGCAGTGTTTTCCTTTGCTTAGAGTAAAAAATGAGTGTTTCTTACAAGTGCCTTTCTTTAAAACTACAATGTTAAAAGCACTCAGTTAACTTTTTAAAAATCAGATATATGGAGGTGAGTCAGGAAGCAACATTTGTAGATTTCAAGAAGATTGCAAGGAAGTTAAAGGCATTTTGTGTCATACTTTCTGGTTATCAGTAGGCTGATAAAAACTGGCATTTATGAGGGGCAAAAGCAAAGTTATTCCCAGGGTTTAAAAACAGAAATATACCTGATAATCGGCTAGAAAAAGTTGTTGTTTGTCAGCAGCATGTTTGGAAAAAATGTAGGGAATCCAGTTGGCTTATGTTGCAGGACTTAAGTTTTAGTTTAAGATGCCAAAACTCAGTATAATCGTTGGCTTGGTCTTCACTCTCCGTTGAAGGCTCCAGGCACCCTGATTGACAGGCAAGGATTCATGTGCCAGTTTCATTTCCTGTGCCAATTTCACAATTCAGCCGAGCAGAAATTGTGCAGTAGTCAACCACACTTTGGCATATTTTTATTTGAACATACGTGCTTTGATGAATTAGTTGTTTAGTCGATAATATAATTTCAGTTGAAGTGGCATTTGTATTGTTACTACTGTTCTTTTAATCATTCACTTGGTCTTGTAAGAATTCCCCTTTCGGCATTGCAATTTTCTTTTCTTCTGCTGTATGTAGTAGTGAGCAGGAAGGTAGTTATGCCCAGAGTACCTGAGTTTGTAGCATTTTCTCTGCCCGTTATCTCGCATTACCTACCAGGAAATAGTCCCCTCTCTCCTCAAATAAATGAGTTACAATTAAAACTAGATCCAAGTCTATGATTTTATATAGGGTCAAATCCATTTGTACATGAAGCAGATATTACATGTTATAAAAATAAGAACATAGTGATGAGGAGATATTCTAGAGGCATTAAGTGAATGCCAAATTCAAATCCCTCACTACTTACAGTTCAGTTCCTTTAGGAAAATAACATCTGTGGTCTATACAACTGGTAGATATTATCCAGCCTAAGCAAACAGACTTGTTTACATTGGGGGAGGGGAGGGGCGTCGTGGTGAAGAGGCACAGACCCTGAACATTACTTCAATATAAAAAGGTTTAAATTACATAATGTGAAAATGTTCGGTGACAATCCCGAGAAGACAGACCAAGGAGGGTCCACAATTCAACAAAACCATTTTTCAGTGGCTCTGCCTGAGGAACACAGGATTTCTGGCCCTGGGGCAGACCCATCCCAGTCTTCTAAAATAGCGTTGCAATTCTTCAGAGAGCTGCTCTCCACACTGCCCTTGGCTGAGGGGCAGCCAACCCATCCCGCTGTGGCCTCAGCCCTGGCTCTGACCCAGCCCAGTCGTAACCACAGAACAGAAAGGTCAACCTGGCTAGAAAAAAAAAAATTACTAAGCCTTAGCTTTGTCAACATTAGTTTCTAAAAAGATTGGTCCTCAAGATTTTTATGTGCTCTAGATTCACTGATAAGATGAGATAAGTAGGATCCAACTGGGCACATGGTCCCAGCCCTTAACTTTGGCTGGCACTTTGGCTGAGGACTGAGGTACAGACATGATTCTTTTTATTTATTTATTTATTTATTTATTTTATTGAATCACTGTGGGAAAAGTTACAAAGCTTTCAGGCTTAAGTCTCGGTCATGCAAATATCAAACACATTTCCCCTTACCAATACTTATTTTTCGCCACGAAGAACCCCAATAAACCGCCCCCCCCAACCCTCCCAGTGCAAACATGATTCTTAAGCTGTCAAATTGGAATTTCCAGTGGGAAATGAGATTTTGAAATTGGAGACTTTGAATGCTCCCCATAAGAGATCTTGCTTGAAAAAAAAAACAGGAACTATTCATAGAGGGCAAAGATTGAGCAATACCAACCCCTTCTCTGAATATTGTGAAAAATATATTTGCAAGGAAAATGAGAAAATAACTACAAAGGACTGGAAGAATGAAAGATTAAATGGTACACATTTAAGTAATTGTCTTAAAAAGTATACTTCTGTGAAACAGGTGGTTTCATATTTGAAACAAAAGGACTATTTGGTGAAGACAGAGCAATTGAATTCTTTATGTTCCAAACAGTTAAAATGTAAGCAAAAAATCATGCATACAAAAAATATAGACAGAACATTTTTAGAAGGCTTTTCAGTAAACTTTTAATTTGATATGTATAGTAAGGTCAATAGTAATATAGTTTAAATTTTGAATCTCTATAGGGAGAGACTATCTAAAATTTTATGAGTATGTGCAACCAGTTAAAACACTGATCATAGACCAAGGCCCAAACAAAAAATTTAAAATTTCCCAAGTGGAAAAGTTTAAACACACTGCATTTTCTGACTATATCCCAAATTAACAATAATTTTTTTATTAATTTTTATTAGTGAAACACCATGAGGTACAGTTATAGACTTACAAATTTTTGTGCTTGGGTTTCGATTATACAATGATCAAATACCCATCCCTCCACCAGCACCCATCCTCCACCACCACGGGTCCCAGCATCCCTCCCACCCCCCATGCCCCCCCATCCCACCCTGCCTCTGTGGCAGGGCATTCCCTTTTGTTCTCTCTCTCCTTTTGGGTGTTGTGGTCTGCAAAAGAGGCATTGAGTGGCAATCATGTTTGGTCTAGAGTCTACTTTCAGCATGCTTCTCCCATCCTGGGAGAATCCTCCAAACACCCTTTATTTGGTGCTCCCTTCTCTATCTGAGCTGCCCTTTCCCCTAGAATGCCCCGCTGGCCTCTAAGCCATGGAGTAATCCTCCTGGTACTGATCTCGGCTACCAAATTAACAATAATTTTAAAAAACCTACTACATAGATATTTGAAAAATATGGAAACAAGGAGAAAATGTAAAACAGTTACAAAATATTTTGTGAAGATCAGCGATGTGCGTCAGCCAAAATTCTTTACTCAGAGGTAAATTCAGACTTTAAATCTGTGCAGTATAAAAACTGAAAATACAAGAATGCAAGAATGAGGAAAGAGAAGCATAAGAAGAATGGAAAAAAGTAAAGCAGAAATTCTAAATGAGAAAAACTGCTAACTTGAACTTCAGTTTCTCACAGCAGTGAAAGTTCTTATTTTATTATACCAGTGTCCTGTGAGGGAGGGGATGTGTCTTAATGTTATCGTGGTATCAACAAATAAAGACTATCTGAAAAAGTGCCTGCGTTGGACTAATATTGTCAAGGCTCATTGCTAGAAGGGAAGGAATCATTTTAAAAGACCTAATCAACTACCTTTAGTATTGATAGCAAAGGTCTTTGTGTTAGTGTTAGAATATTTAGTTCTATCATTTAAAGAAATAAATGCCAATTTGGGGTTTTGTTTGTTTTTGGCTTTTTTGGGTCACATCCAGCGATGCTCAGGGTTTACCCCTACTTCTGCACTCAGGAATCACTCCTGACATTGCAGGGGGGACCATAAGTGATGCCAGGTATTGAACCCGGGTCAGCCTTGTGGAAGGCAAGTGCCCTATCTCTGTGCTATCACTCTGATTCCAATTTTGCGGGGGTGGGGGGGGGAAATGGAGTGAGGGGGGGGGAGTTGTTTGTTGTTGTTTGTTTTTTCTGCTAAAAATTTTGTTTCTTGCTGACACCTATTTGGTTGCCATAAATATATTTTTTAAGGTATAATGACTCAAGAATTAAAAGTTTTATTTAAAAGTGTGGGTTTTCTACACCATTTGGAACATCTATCTATGTACTGTTGGGTTTTAAAAATTTTATTCGTCCACAATATTTTCCTGGTTTCAAAACAAACTAAGCAGGAGGTTTTGGTCTGTTTTTTTTAGGTCCGATTCTGTAGAACCTAGAATCACACCTCCTCTATGGACATTTGCTAGTACATTGCTGAAAAAAAGGTAAAAGGAAAGACAGGCTATGCTTGCACTTAGGTTGGGTCTTCTTTGAATGACGTACACATTTGAAGTCGTGTTTTGGTAATGTTTGAGATTTTGTTTTTAGTTTGGTTACTCCTAATTTATTGCTTGGGGGTCTCCCCTGGTAGGGACTCTGAGGTGTCTGGGATGGAATTTGGGGCTTCAGCCAACAAAGCATGTGCTCCGACTCACTCATTATGCATCTCTCCCAATTGTATTTGACATTTTGTGTCAGTTGGTTATTTTACCAGTGGCACTCATGAGGTTATATTTCTTTTCTTAAGGTATTTCAGGAGCAGAGCTCGGGGCACAGTTTGTGTGGCTGTAGTGTAAGCTGGCATGCATGAGGCCCCAAGTTTGACCCTTGCTAGAGTATACCCCTTCTGTAGTACCAGCGG